CTATATGTCAGTCAAACTCTTTCGCATCTGCTGCAGTCCCAACTCTGAGAATGACTTTCCTCATGGGAGGATTAGCAAGTTAAAGGAAGAAATGTTTTTTGTTTTTATGATCTGGTGAGTTATGAAATAAACAATTAAACATTATCTAAAGGGGAGAAGAATCCTATTCATTCAATCACATCATATAAGGACTAGACTGAAAATGAAGAGTCAAGACTTTTTCACGGTGCTGTAAGTACACAGGAGGACGAGCAATGCAATTTCTGACTACTTCAGAAAAGAAGCTAATCCAGCCAAAAATACATGTAGGAATTGCAACAGTAGTAGCAAAGGATCTCACGTGCATATGTACAGTCTGTCATTTTTTTTCTGTCAGTGGCAGAAACATGTGTGCACAGGTACATGATTGGCCTGAAAATGAAAGACTTTGGTTGCACCTGAAACACCCTCCATCACATCATTACTTGACTTGCAGGGGGTGTTTATCAGTGGGAAAAACTGTAAATCTTATGAAAATACAGTTAAAGTCCAAAATCTATCCCTTCCTTTAGATTTTCCAAGAGCCATCCAGTTGGACATATTGGATTCTTTGCTGGGGTGTTTTCTGCCTTATGTTTATACCCCTGCTCTATATTGTACAGATGTTAGCCTATCTGAGCTACCACAGGGCAAGATGTGTAATTTCATTAATATATATATATATATATATTAATATATTTGTTTCAAAGTTTTTATTGTCTGAAATGTTTAGTTTTAGTTAAGTTTTATTAGTTTCAGTTTTAGCTTTTCTTAAATATTTTTTATGTATGGAGGGCATATGTCAAAGGCAAGATATAGGAAAATCCGTACAGGTGTTATAATAAAAAACAGTTGATGCTCAATCTTGCAGATGTGCAGAGTCTCAATAAAAGCACCTGTCAGTGAATAATTAGGCATGTTGTTAGCAGACTTCGACAATACTAACAGATAGTTACAGAATTTATTATCTTTATCTTTTTATTTTATTTTTATAAGTTCAAGAAATCATTCTACTTTGGGGTTTTTCAAAGGTCTTAAATTTGTTAACTAAAGTTTTTTGTTTTGGGAGGGTTTTCACATCTAGTTTTAGTTAGCTGTAATAACTTTGGTCTGCATGATTCTTTGGGCTTAAATTGCAAGAATTAAATGTACAATTGCAGACAAAGTTGTGATAACTCTTTGGCCAGACTGTCCTGTAGTTAATAAAACAAAGTTTTTATTAAAAGACATAAAAATCCTTTTTGCAGAAATGTTTGTAGTAGATAGACATTTATTGTTTGTCTATTGGTTATCTAATTTGGTGTAGTATGAATGGGCATGGCACAAGTATTTAAGCAATAAAACGGATGTATTTATGAAACTTAAGCTATTCAGTGGGCTAGATTGGTGTCTAGCCACAGGCTTTATTTAGATGTTCACAGTGAAAATTAATTTTTTATCTCATTTATTTGAATTCTTTCTTTTATTTTGACTACATTGTCCTTCTGTTCAGCACTTTAGCCGACGCTTGATGTCTTTTAAACGTGCTATACAAATAAAGCTCATTTGATTTGAGGTTTGTCCATGTGCCACACAGATTTCCCTCTTTTTCATCCTTCCACTCATCTCATGTCCTCACTTTCAGATTGCAACCAATGGCAGTTTCTTTCAGCTGTTCACTTCTGTTAACCTTAAGTTCAGATTAAATACACTGGATAACACAGTTATTTAACTTTATTGGTCCAGTTGGACTTTAGTCAGACAACCAAACTAAAATAAAAATAAAAAAAACACTTTTAGAAAATTTATGACATCAGGCCAGCTGACACTGAAATCCTCACCTTAGTTAATGTACAAAAGAACACAAACCCAGTAAATTCACAATTTAGGAACTCTTTGTGTAACTTTTAAGGATACTTGAACCAATTTAAAAACCTGTTCTGCAATGACATTGTCCCCAAGAGTTTATGTGCCTGTCATAGCCTGAAGGGTCCCCAAACTGAGAACAGTATCAGACATACAACGGTCTGCATGTTTTGATATTTGAGAAATACTTTTTGTTAACCAGGTGAGCTCCTTCAACAGCAGAAATGTAATTTTTCCCAGAGGACAGTTCATGAACCCGTTCTCCCATCTCCTCTCATGCTTTCCAGGCTTGAGAGGACCGAGCTCTTCTCATCCGCTGACCCTCCCTGCGGCGGTTGATTGCCTTGGTGCTAGCCCGTAGCTTTCGGAGCCTCAGAGCACGAAGACGCAGCTGAAGATCCTGCGGGATCTTCCCCCCTTTGGCCCTGATCTCCTTCAGCCTCTGGATGGGTGTTTTGGTGAGGATGAAGTCACAGATGGTGGGATTTGGTTCCATGCCAACATTGCACCGACGCATGGATGGGAAGTAACCCACGGCCCAAACGATCACCTTGTACTCGCCTGGGTTCAGAAGACGCCAGTAGTCCCCATCAGTGGCTACAGAAAAAAATGAGGTTTGCAGAATTTTAATCTAAGCTTCTGGTTTTACTGGTTAATGCATCTGTAGAAGATAAATAAATAATTTTGCCAAAAACGGATTGCAGCTTCTGTCTTGTGACAAAAATGTTCTTTGGGGCTCCAAATGGCTTGATATCAGAGATATGTTTGACGGATTACAGGTCAGTAAGTCATTTACAACAGTTCAAATACAGCAATTGTCAAAATGGTTCTTTCGGTGTGTTTGGTTACAGGCTGTTAACTTGGTATACACAGAAATACAGCTAAAACAAAGATGCATTTGATGGTTGCACCCTGCTCATTAGAAAGAAAATCAGATTAAAACAGATAAATAAAATCAACTGGCTAACCTGATCGGATGTCATGGTCATGGTCCTCCACCTTGATTATAGCATCTGCTATTCCTTTTTTGGTGAGCTTGTCCCTGACCACACCTTTGATGCCTCTGTGAACCTGAGAGAGGAGAAAATGCTGCCGTGTGAGCCACTGCTTTGAAAACCACATGATAACTTGTACCATTTTCTTTGAACAGGTTTACCTGCTCCATGTAAACCAGCAGAGACTCCTTATTGTTCTCCCACTCGATGGGGAGCTCACTAACATGAGGAAACTTATCACAGGACAGCTCCACTGTCACCTCGAAGCAGTTGGTGTGCAGGTAACTGAAGTCGTTCATACCTGCAGGAAAGACAGGCACAGAAAACACAGTGAATATTGAGTGAAACAGTCGTGCAATTTATAGGTTTAAGGGGAAAAAGAACTGAATTTGATCCTTGAATAGAGAGAAATATGACATCTGTCAGTGATTAACTTGGTTAAATGTATTTTTTAAGCTTGCAAATTATAGCAAGATTAAAATTTGATATGTACTGGAGCCTAGTTTAATTTAAGGGATATGCAATTTGACAGGATGTTTGCACATTGGTAGTAAATGTTTTTAAGTGTTTCAATCTGCTCTCTTGTTTTGTAACACTAACTGAAATCACACAACATCCTCTGCAGAGGACGATGCAGCATTTTTTGGGTCTGATGAGTCTCAGATGGCGGAAATCATGCTCAGAACAGACTGATGAAACTCACTGCCAGGAACCGTGTGCCAGGCTCCGCCGTTGATGATGTTGTTATGTAACTGAAAGTCCTCGTAGTGGCAGATACGTCGGTCCGGGTTGGCCATCACCAGGTTAGTCGAGGCATAGACCGAGGCCAGCCAGCGAAAAAAGGCGTTGTCTGCTGTTGGCGTGTCTTCCTGCGGCGCCCAGTCACGGGTGCAGTCGAAGGGATAGGTAACAACAAGCTCTCCACCATGGAGGTTGGCGCTGAGCACAAAGGGAATGTCCTGCATCCAGCTGATGACTGCACGTGTCTCTGGTGCAACCTGGGCAGAGGTAGAAGGAGTTTAGTTTAAGTACCCAAAGCATGTGAATCTGCAAAAAATAAATTGTTAAAAGTAAAAAGGCATGCAGTATTGAAAAAATAAAAAGCTGAAGTATTAAAAGTAAAGAAAAAAAGGTGAAAACATATTATTTTATTAGGTTATTTGTCTTTTACTACAGCGCATTATCATATTTTCTCTTTGATTTTATATTTGATTCTTAGCATGCTTTTCTATTTCTTTAGCATTCTTAGTTGCAGTTACTGTGTGTATGAGAGTCTTAGGTTCATTGGGTTTTCCCTTTATGTTAAGTTTACTGTGGTGTCCAAGTTTCCCTGTTTAGTTATTTCCTGTTTTACTTTTCTAGTTAGTTGTCTCCTGTGTTTTGCATTTAGTTTCATGTCCTCTGTTTTGTTATCATGATTAGTTTGACCTGTGCCTCGTTGCCCAGATGTTTCTAATTCCCTGATTTGTTAACTGACCCTGTTTTCCTGTGTGTGATGCTTTTGTTTTGGACTATTTTCTTTGTTCATGGAAGACACTGCCAGATACAGTCCGACTGATATTAGGCCAATATTAGCTATTTGCTGATCTAACACTGCTGGTGTTTAAAAATCAATGAATAAAGATTCGATGAAAATGTAAAGATTAGAGGCAGGGCGCTCCTTTCCTGCTGGCATCATGTAAATACTACAAATCCAAAAAACAGCTGGTCCGAGCAGAGTTGCTACGTTATGGCGTCCAAAACGATGAAGCAAGATTTCACCTTATCTGGGTAACTTCAGGATTGACCTTGGGGTTTCAGTACTATGACGATGGATCACTACTTTCTGATTTTATTGCCACGGTAACTTAAACTCCACATGAGGTTGTCTTGCAGGTTAGAGATCAACGGGTATGAAATCGCCTCCTATTGACCAATCAGTTCTCTAGAAAATCACTTTCCCAGACCTCTCTCCTGAGAGTGAGAGGGTCTAAAGATTTTTTAAAGTGTTTAAAGTCATTGTGTTTCACTGATGAGCAATTATAAGAAATATATGTTCTTAGACATAATGTTGTGGTGGGATTGTCTTTATGACACCCAGGACGCACTCTAGTATAACTTCATAAATCAGTTGTGTAACTTCTGTAAGCCACTTCTGACTTGTGATCAGCGACTGCGTGTTTGCCATTAGTGAGAGCAACCTTTTGTTCTTTTTGGAAAATCTGTTCTATATGCACTTTAAAGTTCTTTTCCTGTTTTTCTAGCATGATCTTGACTAATAATAGTAAAGCCAACATGGCAAAGACTGTAATCTGCATATGTGCAACCTTGTGCAACCTGAAAATTAATGGCCAGGAGTGTCTCTACACCAAATGTCTGTATCGATATTGATTAATATTAATTCAAAATTGATTTAAAAGTCCAGTATTGGTCAGGCTCTAGTCAGAGAGTTAATGGAGTAAAGAAGGAGAGAAAAATTCTAAATGTTGCACAGAAAAACTTGCTCTCGTTTTGTACTTTTGTTCTTTTTTGTGAACTTTTGTGGACTTGATCTTGAACAGGTTTTTAACATATACCTTTTTCTCATTTGTTTTCCATTCAACAACTTTAATGTCTGATAAAAC